CAACCTCCTCTAGGCCATGCTCTGTGCACCTGGGACCATGGCAGTCCTTTTGCTCCATCTTTATCACTCTACTATTGTCTACAAGACTTTAAGTATAATATTGAGAATAACGTTGACCACTGTTGCCCTAGGCTGTCTTCCACTGCAGAGCCCCTCTCAGCTGCAGCAACTTCTTCAGAAATTTTCGTGTTTAAAAGATGGTGTTGACTCACCTCTTCAGGATGACGAAATAGGAAAATCCACAATTACTGTGTAGGAACCCATGGTGGTTAGTATCTAAGACATGAGGGTAGAAAGGCTGAGCAGTAGACATGCTGCTGAGAAACTCACACTATTGGCAGAACAAGAGTTATCTCCCTGCAGAATAAGCCTCTGGGGAAACTGCTCTGTTTTTCTTAAAGGTGTCGTCAAGCCATGTGGCCATTCCACATGCAGCCCATCCATTTAGTGTTCCACCAACACTGGTGGCTGTAATTGACTGAAAAGGCTGAAAATGAGCTTCATTCACAACATCCATGTGAAGTGACTAAGAAGGTTTGATCAAGAATCCACGTTACCTTTATATGACCACTCCAGAGGAAGAATTATCTTGATTATGGAAGAATTCTTTCCAAGGTGGCTTCAAATGTTTTAGTTTCATCTCTAACTTCTGCTGCCATATGCTAGTTATTTACAGCAAACAGATATCCAGCTGCTACTGTTACGAATATAGACCTGCATCTGAGTTTACATACCTTGTCAATAGGCACTGGAACTAGGCTGCCAGCCCTTAAACCTTGATAAAGATTTCAGGCTGAGTGGATGGTACTGGCAGCTGAGAATGACCTCAAGTGGCCTGAGGGAGAAGACTAACCGTTGCTCCGGAAGCTTTTTTCACGTCCACAGCTGGGGTCAGCTGTGGCTGTTAACATTAATTGAGGCATTATCTCAAGATGAATCTGACTCTACTTAAATTTAAGGTTTTATAAGACCAACTTGTATCTAGAAATACTTATCATTGGTACCATGTACGAGACTCTAAGACTTTATTATTACTATATTTTATTATTACTATATTTTACTATATACTATATTACTATATTTAAATTCTCATAAAAAGTATGTTATAAATAATAACTATGAACACATTAAACCATCACTACATGACAGACCGTATTGACAGCCTTACATACATGTCTCAATTAGGTCTCATTACACCATTTGATGTGGTATATTATTGTTCTTCCCTAACAAAAGAGGAAACTGAGCTATAGTCAGAGTAGGAAACATGAGGCAGTCACATGGTCAATAACTGGGACCTTCCTCCGGGCTTGTGCTTCTAACCATGTCACAGAAATGCCTGGCCATGAGATATCTAGTTGGATTGATCACCATCACTTACCGATCAAGGGAACTGTAAGTCATTTGTTTACGGCCATACTCTTAGGAAATGGTGGAGAGCATGATGGGTGTATCTCTCCCCAAACCCTGGCCTGCTTTGCCGGTTCACCAATTGCCTTCCTGCTCTAGACAGCTCTGTTTATATACGTTCTTCAATAATTTGCACATAAGCCTTAAACTTTTTTAGAAATTATACAGCAGGAAAAAATGAGGATTTCTGCTGCTATAAATGAAGTAATAGAACCTGAAGTAAGCAAGACTGAGCCCTCAGATGGGCCAGCAAGTCGTTCCCACCCAAATCAGTGGTGGGCTTGACCCTGGCAGAGCCAGTAGAACGTCTCTTTTGGATTATATACTTTTCTTTATACTGTTCTGTATTTTCTAAATTTTCTACAATGAGCAAATGTTACCTTTTAAAATGAATGTTCACAGATAATTCTGAATACATTCTCATGTTAAACATTCAACTACACAAAGCCCTGCCCTTAAGCTCCTCCCTTCACTCCTCTATGCCTGTCTCCCTCCCAGAGGTAACCACGGCTTAGGAGTTTGTAGGAATTGCTCTAGCCCCGCAGTGTCCTCAGAGGAAGTCACTACCGACGTGTGCAGCAATCGAACACTTAAAGTGTCCTAGTTCTAATGGAAATATGCTTGGAAGCATAAAATACACGTGAGATTTAAAGACCTAGAAGGAAAAAAGAAAGTAAAATAGCTCATATAATTTTTATATTATTACATGTTGAAATAATATTTTGGAGATATTGGGTTAAATAAAATATAATATTAAATTAACTTCATGTTTCTTTTTACCTTTCTTAATATAGGTATTAGAAAATGTGGCTCATAATACATTTCCATTGGCCAGCACTACTCTGGAGTCTAGATCGTTGTTAATACATTCACAACTTACATGTATGTACAGAAATATATAGTTTTTGGTGTTCTCTAACATACATATGCATTACTTTTGTACTTGGATTAAAACTTTTTTGCTTTGAAAAAAGAAGTATAATCTTTAAATGTATTGCGCATTAAATTAATTCCTTTCTTTCTCTTCCTCTTCCTCCCCCCACCATACTTCTTGAGGACACACAAAGCCTCAGAGTGAAGAAAGCAATAATTATTCTTGGCTACACAAATGCTGAAGGGAGCACACCCAATATCTGGATTAATTCAGCCCATGTACAGATTAACAAAAGGGTACCCCCTTGTTGGATAAAAGACAGTGCTAGCCAATGGAGGAAGGCTTTGGAGTTAATGGGGTCCTAGACAAAAGAGAGAGGAAGTTGCTACATTTGCCAGAAATGGCTGGTAGTTATTTTTAAATAACTACATACAAATTTGCTATTCTTATCATGTCATCTCTTTCAGATTTTTTTTTTTGTGTTCAGGAAGATTTGCCCTGAACGTTAGTGTGCCAATCTTCTACTTCTTTTTAGTATGTGGGCTGCTAGCACAGCATGGCTGTTAACAGAGTGATTATGTCCACGCCTGGGGACCAAACCTGGGGATGCCAAAGTGGAGCACCCCTAAGTGGAGCCCCCCGAACTTAACCACTAGGCCATGGGGGCTGGCCCCCTCAGATGTTTTTTGCAATAGGCATGGTCCCATTACTTTACATTGGGTGCCCATGTACTACTAAGTGCTTTTCAGTGTGATCAATATTGCCTACAAAGTGTCCCCTCCATTCAGCTGTTGAATCCTGGTACTTGCTGGAAATAAATGCTGGACCATGTGACCGATGTGATCCCTACTTTGCTAAGGTCTGACCAGTTGAAGTAATATCGCAAACATTTTATAATGTACCCAGTGGATTTTATTTTGTCTAAGCAAATACATAATAAATCCAACTCTGTGGATTCTGAAAAAGAAATGACCCCACAAAAGCCCCCCTTTCTCTCCCACTTAAAAAATTCTTGCATAGACATAAATGATTTACACAGACGGTGCTTGTGTAAAGGAATTGGGGCCTGTGCACATGCAGCATTCTTGGGTTGGGCTGGAAGGTTCTAGCAAGGCCTTAGCACATGCAAACCATCGGCAGATCTTACTTGGCCTCCGTGTAGAACCTCCTTGAGGGCAGAGGAGGGGAACAGCACATTGGGCCTGAGCAGAGGGTGCTGTGGTAACTCAGGACTTTCATCCCATGATGCTCCGGGGCATCCTGTCTCATTTGCATTCCCTCTGCTTATCTGCTGCCTTGACACTGCACTGCAGTTGGAGGCCTGTTTATTCTTTCGCCTGCTCCTTGCTGCCCCAAGACCAGCTTCCCAACGAGTAAAATGAGGCACGGGATGAGGAGCTCCAAAATTTTCTTCTAGCTGGTAATTATCCCGGTTTAACAAATCAGATTTTCCTTGAGCAGATTCCATGGGGGCTGTTTTGAGCGCTCCATATCAATAGGACATTTGAAGTGTTTCTTTTCTTTTCTTCCTATTCCTCACCACCTTTTCCCTTCATTCAAAGAAGAATAGAAAGAAAAAACAGAAACAAAGACTACGGTAATACAGGGATTTTCAAGCTTTTCTGAAGTGCTATATATCACAGCAATTAAGATAACCTTTTGAAACCTAAAAAAAGAAACTTCTCCCTTAATTAGGATTGACTTCACCTGAGTAGACACCATCTGCTGTAGCAGCCCAACCTTGCCTCCTCGGTCTTGGCAGGTCTTGGCAGCTCCAGGTGAGTCGGGCCCCCTCTCCTTTCCCACAGTCCGAGTCAAGAAGCTGCCAGGGAGCTCTCAGGCAGTATCAGCGGCAGGAAGTGGGGCGGGAGCCAGGGGGGTCTCCACCCATTAGCAGCTGCTTAAGTAGAAGGCAGGGGAACTCGTCTATGTCTACGGAGAAATCGGTTCAGCAGATACTCCAAACCAATTTATACCACATGCTACCCAGTTGTGGAATTAAATTAAAGTGCTGAGAAAGGACCTGGAATGCCAGTCCCCTTGTTTTTTCCCTACCTTGTGCTTGGAACCCAAAAGAATAAAACAGGGATAGTTGGACTTGGTGGTTTAAAGGAAATTGTTAGGCAACAGGAAGGAAGTGAAGGCAGCACGCACCAAGGGAGGTTGTCTTCAGGGAACGTCATGTACCAGTGATTAAATGTCAAGATCCATCATTGTCCAAGTGGTGATGTCTACACAGCCTTAGTAATTTGCTCATTCAGATTTAACCAAAAGACAAGCTTGACAGATTAGTAGAATCTTTGGGGGAGGGTGGTGGATGAGGTGGGGAAAGGAGTGAGGTAATTTTTAAAAATGACTTCATAATTTTTTTTGAAAGCACAATATTATCACCTCAGTGTTTGTCGTACAGTGTATTTTAGTGTAACGTGAAATAGAAGTTTTGGCAAAAGTAGAGAAAACATTTCCAAATAAATCACTATAGATTACGTTACAACCCTAAAATAAAAATGTGCAAACGTGTGTTTGTCCATCAGACTGTAGTGCATTTTTGTTAACGCTTTCTTTGTGGAAGAAAGTTGACTTTTTCTTATGCTACTTCCTTAATAATTTACTACGGCTTTAACAAGGGGATAAGAGTTGGGCTCCAAATTTTATATATATATTTAAAAATATTTTTTTACATTCCCTCACCAATAGGAAAACATTAAATGATTACCTCTGTGAATTTGTTCCGATTGGCTTGCAAGCCAACTTTTACTACCTCAAAAGGGTTCACCACGATGGCTTCCGTTAGTCCAGATCCCAATCCAGCAATGGCAAATGTCTAGAAAAATTAAATCAATCAATACTTTAAAACAAGTTATCATGTGTACTGGGTTAAGCATCCTACTCATTACACTGTACAGCTGAATGTTATGATGAGAATGGAGAAACTTACATAAATGCACCATATTCCATTACCAAACAGCTTTAGTTCTTGATTAGATGCTGACAATTCATGAAGAAGAAATTACAGAAGCCACAAACCACATCCTAACAATTCAAAATAAGACGTCAAAGCCCCATCAACAACGACTTTTTCCTTTAATGAAAAGAAAGGTTGTTTTACTGATTAAGGTGGCTACCAAAACATGTGCACATGGAACAATTAAAAGAGAGTTTGACTTGTAAAAGGAGAGCTTCATTTTTAAATATCTACTTAAATACATTTATTGAGCATATGAAAAAATTCAAGGAGCAGAACCACAAGTAAAATGTTTATAAAAACCTAAAATTCAGGTAACCAGAGTTAGCTGAAAACATGTAGATGTAGAGCCATGTCCTTAGAGCCACTATTCTAGACAATTAACGAACAAAAAGTGATTTTTTATTCATCCTTTCTCTATTTTTTTTAACTGATAGTTGTCCTATTCTTCCAAACCTAGAAGCTGAGGAATAAAAGCTGAGATCAGAAGTGGTGAGGTTGTTCTGAAGGGCTCAACTAAAATCCAGGACATTTATCAAAGGATGGCTGCATGTCAGGTTCTTATTTGCTATCTGTTAAGAGTTTCTGCAATAGGAAAGAATAACTTTCTAGAATTTTCCTCTGAGTAGAATGCTTAAGGATTTTTCAGAAAATCTTTATCAAAAGTAACCACAACATTTAACACACATGTACACACCAGAAAAACAAAATGAAACAAAGCCTCAAAACTCCAAAACGGATACTGAAAAAAAATAACTCTTTATTGCCAAAGTTCTAATTCCAGGAGAAGAGACAGTACTATATATGACTAAGAGGAGAAAAAAGTCAGTGAAGAGTAAAGAACAAATAACTCTTATTGGGAGTCACTAGTTTCCTCAAAGGAGGAGATTGAAAGAGAACAGAGAGGAATGTTCTATAACCTTAGAAGGGGAGGCAAGAAGGAGGAACAAGAAGGGATCCAGAGCCAGGAGGTCTGGGTTTAGGTCCTGGTTCTGTCACTTATTGGCTGCGTGACCAGAGCTGCCATGCATAGTAGTTCATGCACGGATAAAGGTGTGCGTGTAGGCTGGAATCCCGCTGCAGCCCCGTGCCAAGCTGGAGCCCTGGAGAGGCATCAGTCAGCAGAAAGGGGCGCCTTTCCTAATTCACGCAAAGGCAGCGTCTGTGCTAGCTGCGGCTCCGTGTCTGTCACTGCGCCTTTTATAAGCCATGGTTTTCTCATCGGTAAAATGGAGATGATAATATCTAGTCTCCCTACCTCATAAGGTTATTGTGAGGGTCAAAATAATGTGTGAAAGTGCTGTGTGAAGTGCTACACAAAAACCACTGTTCTAGTTGCACATAAAAATGGAGAGGAAAAATGGGATTGCATACAGATTCAAGGAGAGAGGGAATAAATAATGATGTATTCCTTTCATGCCCCTTCATTACGATTTTAAACATATTTGTGTAGGGTAACAGACCAAACATTTTATTCATTTATCTCAGACTTCCATCATGGAAGCCAAAAGTGGGAAAAAAATACTAGTTGCAAACTCTTCTGAGAAAGCTAAAATCCAGATGTTCAGGTTTTTATTACTTACTATATGCAATCTTCCAAGTAATTTGCTTTTTAATTCTTCTATAAAACTCAGCTACATTTGCTGTCAGAACTAGTGTCCAGCAGTCTCTTGTCAAAAGAATTGATCAGCTATCAGTGGACCGTGTTACCGAGATTATTTCAGAGACCAGCGGTCATTTTCCAGTCCCCAGACTCCCAGGCTTCTCATGTGCGAGCACCAGGGGACATTTAACAGCTGTTTGTTTCTAGCTGTATCAAAAAGAAACTGGAATACATGAGTTCAAGAAAAGAGAAAAACTGTCCACAGTTTGCATGCACTTGGTTGTAGTAGCTGGAGTGCCAAAAACTTTTCGGTTTCAATTCTCAAGAGGTTGAAAGAGCTCTCACGTGGTACCGATGCTCGACACAAAGACAACCCTCAGACGCTCTGGAGACCATATTTTATTGTCTCTTGCTAAGAAGTTTTTAATTCTCTCTTTACCAAGATGTTTTCAAAGTTAAGAGCAACATTAAGGGAAGATACTCAAGAATTAAAAAAAAAATCTTAGCTAATTTTGGACTCATGCTAACACTTCTTCCATACAAAGCTACTTCACAGCCACCTTGTTTAGGCAGGAGGCTGAACCAGAGGTTTCTTAAAGGACCCTTCCTAGAAAAGGAGCATGTGTGGTTTTAAAAATATCAGATACTTCTTCTTGGACAGTCTGTTTGGCGAGTAAATACTCTGAAGTGGACCCTGACAAGGAAAGCAATGAAAGAGCCAAACCTTGGAATGCTGCCTCTCTGGTTGAGTTTGGGGGTACTTTTCAGCAGGTAAACTGGGGTATTTTCCTAGAGCCTGGAAGGTACAGTGCCAACTGGGGGGCCAATGCAGATTTTGTTTCATTTTGCAGATTTGGAGGGAGAAATTAGTGCATTTGCTCTCTCTGGGGCTCTCGTTGCACACATATTTGTAGAACCCAGCTGATCAATATAATTTAACTTGTTTTGTGAAAAGTGGTGGCAAAGTCATCAAGAAGGAGTTGAGTGGAGTCGGGAGATGTTCAAATTGCCTGATGATTTTCCTGTCATAGTTGAGATGTGTCATTGTAAGATCACTATTCTCCCCAACTATAAAAGGCCCTTCAGTCTGCAGCTGACCACAGAGTGACCTCAAGTCCTATATTGACTACAGCCTGAGCAAAAGCTGGAAAAGTGACCTGTTGGGAAATAATTTCAGGCATATTGACTTTCGCATAAACAGATCTGTGCAGTATGTGTGTAAATAGACTCATGTTTGGCTTTAAAAGAGTCTTTGACAAATGTACTCTTTATTTTATATTCTTGACCATATCTCATACAGGCCTTTCCACACATATCATTATTATCATAAATTCATCACTGGGAGCTATAAAATAGCCAAATTGTGAGTTATTAGGAAGATGGCTTTCAACAAGTAGCTGAACATTGAATAACTCGAATTCATATTTTAGTAGCTGGGATTGGGGAATCAAAAGGGGTTTTGTTTCCAGATTTGCTTTATGAAATAACACACACACTTAAGTATAATAAATACTCTCACTTACCAATGCTGGTGACAGTGACACATATCCTAGCAATTTCTTGTACTGCTCAAAGGTGAAAAACTGTGAAACAAAACCAAACCCAGAGATTTATAACAATTTCCTGCAACAAACCCTTTAATTGACTCAAATTTCTTTAGTAAATCATTATATTAACTAGCATTTTAAAAAATGATAAACCATCGACACAGCTTTTAATCCGGTCTCGGGGAGTTGCTATTGGGTCTTACTTTAACATGCACATTTTCAAACGCAGCTATAATAACCGACAGAAGAGCTGATGGAACCCTTTATAGCAGTAAATGAACCATACAGCTTCCATTTACCATGACCATTTTCAGTTTCCCCAGACATCAATAGACTTCTTTTTTATGGCAGTGATTCAAAATTACAGGCACAGAGACCTGAAATCTTCGGTCTCCTATGTTTTCTCTATGAACTGCTTTCCCAGTGAACGCCCAATTTTCTAACCCACTTGTAAGACACCCATTTCTCAGCTTTAACCTGCATTTATATCGCTGTGTATCTTTACTGTTCCACAGAATTTCTAAACGCTCAATGATGATGAAGATGCCATGATAAACTAGCGAAGGACCCAACGAGGTCGTCTAGTCCACCCTCCCTTAAAGCAAGACTGCCCTCAACATGAACGAAGAAGAGCTGCTTATTTCTTCTTTTCAAATTTGATGATGATTGAAGATTTTGTTGGTTCCTTCAGTAGATGATGTTTAATATAATTTTCTCTGCAAGTGAATTTCTATGGAGGCAAATCTAATCAATCATTTCTGCATAATATGCCCCAAATACAGTTTTTCTCCTCTTTTTTTATATATTCTACATTTTGGGCAACGACTCTGCTTAAACATGATGATTTGCTTCTGGGTATCTGTTAGGCAGCTGCCAACATCACTGATGAGGCACACTCTTAGGTCCTGCTAGGGTCTGATTCTCAAGACCCCAGAGATGGCATGGGTATTTTATGGTCTCAAATGTCTTCTACTCTATTACTTTATAAAGTAAAATAGAGCAAGAAATAAATGTAGATTTGGGGGCCAAATAATACTCTGTTGTTTGAAAGAGGTAGTTCCATGTGCACATGGGTCTAATGAGTCTTTGGGCAGCCCAAGAGTCATTACACGACCAGAGAGATTCTGAGTCTTTTAAAGACCTAGGAACTACTTTTGTGCTGTGGTCCTTCAGATCAACTATGGATGTAGACTTTTCTCTTACAGGGATTTATTCACTCACTCATTCAACAAATATTTATCGAATGCCTCCTATGTTCTAGGCACTGGGGATGTCGCAGTAAACAAAGAGAAGCCCCTGCATTCTTGATCTCACGTCCTAGTGGGTGGTGATAACCCTGAAGCTATCCTGGTGTTAAAATAATATCACCCTGGGCCGCCACTGTTTTGAGGAGAGATGCACTAGAAACCATTAACCATGGAGAGAAAAGTGTTATAGTCTTAGGCTTTAAAGCTAAGTTATTTTTTCTTCCTTTTTCTGGTCATCATCACCACTGTTCTTTGACAATTGCCTTGCTGGGTTTTGACGGTGACTCACTCCTGGCTCTCTCCTTAGCTGTGCAAGCATGGGCAAGTGGCTTGACCTTTCTAATCCTCAAGAACGCAAAACTTACCTTCTAGAGTAGTCCTTAAATAAGGGAATTTAGCAAGATTTCTTGACATGCCTACCATGTAGGAGACTTTCAGAAAATCTTAATTCCCATTCCCTTTCTTTGCTTTGGCTACTAAAGGAACCATAGATGCCTTAGTTCTTTGTATCGCTTATGACAGCCTGCTGTGGTCCAGGAAACACGGTGAGGCCTTTGCTGTGCTATTGCGTTTAATCCATACAAAATTGATATTTCCCCGAGTCTAACTCCAAAGCCCGTGTATGCTCTAAACCATGATGCTGTGCTTACTCACTGCTGAGCCGTGATTTGTAGTGGTTTGGGAAGAGACTCTTTGCCCTAGAGCTTTCTTGCCGCTGAGGTCTTCCAGCCTTCCCTGACCCTCGAAGCCCAGAGACCCTCAAGGCAGAAGATTTCAAACATTTTTTACCCTCCACACACATGCGCACGAATGCAGTGTGCACTCATAACTGAAACTAAACATGGCTATAAAACAATATCTACCCCGTTACTATGTGCAATGCAGACTGTTTCTATTCTATTTCACGAAAAAAAATTCTGGTCATGTGGGTAGTGGGTCATTACATCCAGTGACCCACTAAATTGATTTCATGACTCACGGGTCATGACCTCCACTTTGGAAACACTGCTCCACACTGGGTTCCGGGAAGCTCTGGGAGATGAAGGACTTCGAGAAAATTCTCCCTCTCTTGTTCCCTTCCACTGTGAGGATGCCTTGTTTCTTTCTTTCTTTCTGACTTTCTGTCATTACAAGGGATCAAGGACCAAACTGGGATCTCAAGGGAGAGGTCAGGGGAAATCAACTCAGCCTGTCACTCTAGCAATTCTCACAGAGAATTAACTCCAAGTCTATACCTTGGGGCAGTTCTCGGCTCTTCATTTCCCCATCTCCCAAATTGTTAAGAAAACAAACTATTGCTAGCTGACTGGTACTCAGCAGCAGTCTTGCTGGAAGCTTTTGGTGAATGGCTAGGATGAAATGATTCAGGTTCCTGGGAATAAAGAAGCTCTCCAGGTCACGGTGATGATGCTATTGTGCTACCAAATTCAAAAGTACCGAACAATATATCACCACATATTCTAATATGAAAATAGTGCTTCAAACTAAAAAAAAATCTTGTTTTAATTTCTACCTTTGCAACCAAAATCTAATTTATTGAAAATAAAATAAAACAATATCTCAAGAAAGGAAAAGCTAAAATCTTTTAAAATGAATTTTCAACAATAGTAAAATAATGGAAATATCATTATACTTTGAAACCAATATTTACTAACAATATTCATTCATTCATTCAATGTATCTTTATTACACATCTCTCATGTTCTTAGAAGACATTATACCAGAACTACATTCTTAAGAGCTAGTACGTCAGCTGTTATTTCAATTCCCCTCGATACAGCACTGGCCAGCCCTGGTGCTCTAGTGGTTAGGATTCAGTGCTGTCACCTCATCAGCCCATGTTTGTTTCCCAGTCAGAGAACCACACTACCCACCTGTCAGCCATCATACTGTGGCAGCTGCGTGTTGCTGTGATGCTGAAAGCTATGCCACCACTATTTCAAATACCAGCAGGGGCAGTCATGGTGTCCAGGGCTCAGCGGAGCTCCTAGGAGTGACTAGAAAGAAGGACCTGGCCACCCCCTTCCAAAAAATTGGCCAGGAGAACCCTATGAATAGTAGTGGAGCTTTGTCTGATAGAGCGCTGCAAGAGGAGAGGATGGTACAAAATCAAGGTAGGGCTCCACTCTGCTGCCCACAGGGTTGCTAGGAGTCGGAATCGATTCGATGGCACTAACAACAAACACAACACTCCTCCTTTACGGCTTTCATAGTATTTCTCAGAATTTCTCATCCACAACATTAATTAATGCACAGATGTGATAAAAGTACTCTATCATATAAGATATGAGGTGACACTCTAAAGATGAAATTAGGAGGGTCAATATGTAATAAACTTACCTCCACAAAGTCATATAAATGTGTGACTAGAGTTTTGAAAACATTCATATTCATTCAAGATTTTGGGAACTTTCAATATAAAATCTCGAATCCAAATTAATTGTGCAATATAGAACTTCTATACTGGAATTGAGAAATTGTCAGTCTCACCCAGGGAGAGGGGCACCCCTGGAGGACAGGCCATGTGGCCCCTGGAGAAGGGTCATATTGTGGCCGGGCAGGGAGGCAGGGACAGTGGGCCTGGGTGCCCAGCCTCCAGATGGCACTTTTCCTTTGTTTTCATCCATGCTCGCTAAGCAATCTGATGACTAGCCTGACCTCCCAGATGCCCTGCCCTGGGATGCAGTTAAATCACAGGGAAACAGTTTGATCCACTTGGCTCTTGCTTTTAACAAGTGGGAGCAGAGCAGCGCTCAGACCATGGCTGATTATTCCACACTACAGAGGCACACCCTTCTGAGGGCGCCTCTCAACACCCTGTGAATCTTGAGGCCTGCCGGTTTGGTTGGGAGAACAGGCGCTCCTCACGGCCCCGTGTGACTGCCGAGCACTGTTCCTCTGATCCTTTGCACGGCTCTGTCCCAGGCCTTGCTAGTTTCCTCCCACAAGTGGCTGGTTCCTTCTCAGCTGAAGATCCGGGGCGACAATCTGCAGATCTCAGGAGCTGTCTCTGGGCAGCTCTCCCTCTCTGCTACTGTGTCCTGTGAACTCCAGCTGCCTCGCCCTCCCCAAGCTCTCACCTCCTTCTCAGCCCAGGGAGACCACTGGACTCTGCCCTGATTTCCCCTGCCTGCTGCTGGGCCTGGCAAATCTCACCAGGCATTGTGCTGGGGCAATCCATAGGGCCCATCTCCTTTGTTTCCCATCTCTCAGGTAGTGCTCTCCTTCCTTGTCTGATGTCCAGTGTCTTGAAAACTAAGATTTCAGATATTTTGTTCATTTTTTGTTACTGCTGTTTCAGGCAGGAGAGTAAATCTGGTCCCTGTTACTCCTGCTTGGCTGGAAATGGAAGTCTTGGCCTTCCCAAAACTCTGAATAGTAGATGTGGGAATTTGGGGGAACAGCACAGGAATGTCTCCTGTTATAAATTAATAAACTTTCTGTTTTTCTCTACATATGTTTCACTTATTCATCGAATCTCGACTGACTATCTACTGTGTGCAGACACTCCGCTAGGTGTAGGGATACAGCGGCGAACAAATAGCCCTTACCATTCACAATCTCTCGTGAGTCTGGTGAGCATTAGGCAGTCCTCAAGAGTCTGATCATGGAAAACCAGTGCTTCTGGACCTGTGAAGCTCGAGACTAGACCCTGGAACCTGGAACGTGGTGCCTCCCACTCTTGAGGGACCAGTTGGTCTCTTTCTGAGGTCTTCATTTCCTTTTGCTAACTGTAATACTAATTATGTCTTAATTTGTGAAAGGGGAAGTTTCGTTAATTTAGCATCAATGAGTCTTATTACTTTAATAATGAATCTCATTTCAAAGAATAAAGCACAGAAAAAAGTTAACATTATCTGTTTCTCATTGTAGTAACTGAAGTGTCAGTACCAAGGAAGATATACATATATATAAAAAATACTCACAGGCCATATACATGTATATGTATGTATGTGTGTATATGTGTATACATAGATATGGTTTCTGAATATCTTTTCAGAAGTAACTTTGATGACATACAATGAAGCAGTTTATGATGTATGAAATCATTAAAATCAGATCGCTTTCCTCACAAATCCTAAGATAAAGATCTATAAAATGAATGTTTGCACAAATTGTGTTGAAAAACTAGTGCTATCCATCTGGCAAAGATACACTTAACTCAAGTTATACTTAAAAAGCCAGCATACTTACCATATGTCTCAATAATTTTAAGGTAAAATCTACTTGAAACAAGATGTCTGGGACACATGCACCGTATCGAGTTGCCCAAAAGTTCATCTGTTAACCATTGTTCTGGCAGGGAGCATTGCTTTTTGTAAGTAGAGACTAACTCAGTTTTGTAAAGCTCAACATTTTTTTTTCTTCCATAAAAGGCTGTTCAACTTTGATAAACCTTAATGCTCTTAAAGTTTAAATTGTCTCCAGTGTATAGTATTAAGGAAAAATATTTCAAGGAAAATCTTTAATTATAATTTGCTTTATTTATATATGTAAAACACTGAACAAATGTATATATTACTCCATGGAGACAAAGTGACTTTCCTTTTGAACAGGAACTCTGCTCTGTTTGTTTACTTGGGCAATCTTTTATCAAGTGAAGCCATTTCATAATTCACTTCAGCCCTCTTGTGTACTCTGGGGAACTTTTTCCAGATTCTCTACTCCGATTCAGATCCTTATAATGAAATTTGTATTGAAGTAATAACATAAGATCACAAAAACTATGGCAACAAAGAGGATGGGTTTTAAAGTATGTTTTAAAGCTTTGTTTTCTGAATTGTAGGCCTGAATTAAATCCTACTAAATTACTATTCTGACATAAGGTATAAGTTTGGTGTCCGTGTATATATGTCTGTTATTTTCTCATAAATTTTAACCTAGTCACCCCCTTAACTTACCGAGTAAAAGTATGTAAGCTGCCCCTTCCTACCCTTCAGGAATATTGGGAATACAAATTGAGTGAGGCATGTGAAAAAAGCTTCACGTCATGAGTTGGAAAAGAAGTCTTTCAGTCTAAGTTTTTCTTATCCTTATTATGGAAAGACAAAGCCATATTTGGTGATGTCAGTGGTGTGGGGGTGGGGACAGTGCCAGTCAGAGTCACTGGGATCAGGACTTTTGTTCTGAGAGAACATAAAAGAGTGATCAGATTCAGTTCTTTCTCCCCCGGAGGTCTTGTCAGATCTCCACGCTCCTATCCAGATTCTGAACCAGCAAGTAGAACATAAACCTCCATAGTTTTGTGGTTAAAGAATGGAAATCAGCATAGTGGAAGTAATAATTTTGTGAAAACCAGTATAGAGAATTTTAACAGAGGAGACCAGGGAGAAAAGGAAGTTAGCATGCAAAATAAATGTGCTACATGAGAATCATATACAAAGAAATATAGTGTATTAGTTTACTCTGTTCATAAAATGGGAACTGTGTAGGGAAAAAGCTTTTTCTACCTCTCCTCTCCTCTCCCTCTCCCTTTCATTAATAATTATTGCTCCAAAGGAAAATTTATAAATTGCCTTGAGGAAAAGTCCAAGCTATTTTGTGGCTACTGTGGTTTGATCACACGAATTTCATTCACCACTGTACTTTTTGTATGCTTTCTCCATTATAAGGGAGTGACTTTACCTGAAAAAGAGAATCCATAATATTTGAGAGATTGACCAAGCCTAATTATAATAAAAATTGTGCTATAATTTCAGCATTAAGATTTCAGTGTCTTATATTTGACTCACATGAATGTCCCATAGTTCGTTGTGGGATGTTTTAATGCGGAAGCTGTCCCTGTACTCTAGTTTTGCTTGGTGGGAAGGAATACAATGCTTACCTTCACTGCTCTTTTTGGTGTTTCAGCCAAGATGGGTGGCAGAATTCCCTTGTAAAAACCGAACAACCTATTGGAGAAATAAGAGATTTTATATAAGTAAGGGAATTAGGAAACAGGTACTTCAGCCTTTGTTGATAGATAAAGCAACTAATCTTAAAGTATTTTCAATTCTTCAAAGTAGCACACCAATCACGAAGGCTTCCTTTGTTTTAATTCCAAAGTGGAGAGATTATGAATTGTACGTTTATTAGCACAATGATATTCAGAAGAAGAATAAATGACACGAGACTGGAATCCCTTAGGTAAGTTGCTAAACACAACCACGAGTTGTACTTTAAAGATGAAGATGACCCTCCTCACTCTAGGGATTCTCGAATCTATTTTCTCAGTTGCGTGGTGGATGCCTTCATGCTCTACAGTCCTGCGTTTCCTCCCTTGTGGTAACCAAATGAGGTTAGGGTTATACCTGAGCCCACTAGACTCAAACTTTCAGAGGCTAACAATGTGGGGAAGTCCTCCACCTTAGCTTTGCTAACACAAGGGAACTGACAAGCTCTTTGGCTGTGGAACTAGGGCTCCCAGCCCTGTCCTGAATTAGTCATAATTTTTGACTTCCTTGATGGAGATGGAAGAAGGTCAGGGACATATGTTGCTGACAGAAGAAATGTCAAACTTCCTTGTTGATATGCAATCTCACAGGGCCTGGGACAACTATTGTTGCCAATGTTGAGGGACTTGTCACATATTCAGACATTTTTAGAAAAATAAAAACCAAGAAGAAAACCCCCAAGAATGAGTGCAAAATGCTTATAAGATTTATAAAATGTTTTATTTTTATATATACCACTTATTTCATATTAGATATTAAGATTCAAAATTTTAAATTTATATGCCCTGAATATATATATATATATATATATATATATATATATATATATAATGCACCCTTCAGTGAGGGGTGCAAAGGGCTTGTCTTACAGCTTCTAAATTGTTAGAGCCTTGAGGGCTGTGTGTGTCTTAGAGTGCTTAACCTAGAATCTTTGTGTGTGTGTGTGTGTAAGCAGGACACAAATATTTGTTAAGCATACAGATTTCATGAAGAAGAAGAAAGGAATCAAATGATCCCCTAATATGGGCTTACTCTGCCCACTATTTTTGACTTAATGGAAATAGAAGCTCTACATTTATAGTGAAAGGTTCTGTTAATATAATTCTGCTGTGTAATTTATATAATTAATATAATTTACATTAGTTCTATTCTTTCTGTGCTGATTTTTCCACATCTAGAAGATTATCCCTGGTTATGGGGGGAAAAATTAAGAAGAACACTTAAGTAAGTAGAGCTTCTAGAACAGACTGTCCTGGTTAATAGACATACTTGAAATCCCATACAACAGAGAACAGTTATAAGAAGAATAGTTGCTCAGCCTGGAGAAGAAAGATCCTAGGGAGAAATATGATACCATGATGGATCCCTTGAAAGGTGAGCATGCAGGAAAGAGATTAGACTTTTCTGTTTGTTTCCAGGTGGTAGAACTAGGACCAAGAAGTAGAAGCAACAAGGAAAGACACATTTTTGGCCCAGTAGGAGCTTAATATAAGGAAGTACTCCTAAGAGAACTATCTAGAGATGGGCTCTCCTGAAAAGTGGTGGGTTCCCCTTTATGGTAGATGGTCAAGAAGTCCGAATGGCCACTTGTCATGGATGCCAGAGACGTACACAGCAATGGGTGTACTTGATGGCCCTCAGGGTTGGTCTACTCCAACCCTCAGATTTTGTTATTCTGAGAAAAAGAACAAGAGGACAAAGGAAAGCGCTTTTCTGAAGAGACAAATTTTGCCTTACTCCAAACTTTTGCCTAAAGAAGAGGGCTGCTTCTCTGGAGGAGGACTGAAGTCTTGTAAGTAACACAGAAGGTCTTCATTTTAAAAATTATGGGAGAAAATACTAAAAAGAGGTGGAAGGCAGGAGAGGAGAGAGGCAGCTGGCAGAACCACAAAGATTTCATCTGAAAAGAGCTGGGAGGTCCAGAACCTTCTGCTTCATGTTGGCGATTCCTCCTTGATGAGTCCTCCTTCCCTTCTCTCTGCTCATTTCCTTTCATGTGCAATCATCACCCCCTCAACCCCCGCCATCCTCCCCTCACCGCCTCCAGCCATCCCACCATCCTCAACTTTCTAACAGTGAATGAACAGCTTTAATGGGAAATTCTCAAGGACCATAGGCAGCCTTTGCTAGCAAATGGGAAGCTAGATCTATCTGCTTCCTTGCATTGTTTTCACAGTATATCCAGGCAATAGTGGACATCTGCAGAATAGTTAGGCTGGTATCTCTTCTGCTGAGAAGTGCCCCACCCACTGGAACCAACATATTAGTACATCATACTGCTTGTAGGCAGCGGTGGATTGGGCACCTCACCAGATGGATCCAAACGGTATTCTGTCTCTTGGCCCCAGTTTATTTGATCTAAGCTAGACCTAGCAGAGTTTTTCTCCAGGATTTTGGAATTGGAACTGAAAAGGTCAGTCTCGCTCTGTGTGGCTGAAGCTCTAAGATATAAAGCTAGGATATCAACAGCAGCCATGTTTTCTGTCATTTGGAGAAAGTCAATCTGCAGCGGTAAAAAAGAAGGACGCTGCCAGTGAGGGAAACACAGAAGCAAGACAGAGAAGAGAAGTCCGGCTCCTGGGAGGGTGACCCTGCGCTAGGATTTCTTTAAGCCTAGTTACATCTCCATCCCTCTTGAATCTTAGCATTTCCCTTTGCTTTTGATTCATCAAGATATCCACTAACATTTATAATAAATTCCTTTTGTTTTTTTTACTTAAATAAGTTTGAGTTGGGTTTACTACTTACAACCCAAAGTCTTGAATCCAGAAAGTAAGCCTCATGGTCCCTACAGCCAAAGAGGCTGTTGCAGTACCGCCATGCCCTCTCACATGACAGCTGAGATGGACACTGCGGCCAAGCAGAAGAGTCACAGCCAAAATTTGAGCAAGAGAATGCAGGCAAGGGCTCAAGCTGAGGAGCTATCTTTCAGACTTGATTAGACAATCACTGAAAGTTTTCCAAACATAAAGTATAATATACAGATTCTAAAACACAAAAAGGAATCACAATGTTTTATGAAGACACTTTTTTTCCTGCTAAAAAACAGATGTTTATACCCACACGCACTGTGTATTCTGCAAAATTTTTCTGCCTTCATGTAGTTTTGGCTTGAAATACAGAGCATGTAGCTTCCCAGGACAATAACCAGGGAAGTTAAGAGGTCTCTGACACCCATACCAACATGCTCTATCCTCGTACTTCTCAAGAAGCAGACACACATTCAGTCTACTGCCGGGAGAAATGGAAAGTGAGATTCTAATGTTGATGTAGCATTAATGGCGGTGCTTTTCCCTGAAAAGACAGTAAAGCCATTCCCCTGGTTTTAAGTTTGACCCACATCAAGCCAACTGGAGATGCACAAGGAACAATGCAGGACCTCCCGTGAAATTAGTGGTGTGTAGTGTGAACTATAGGGCAGCCCTCATATTTTGTTTCTCAAAGTTGTTACTTCTAAAAGTTGTGAGTTTCACCATCCTGTGTAGGAAAATGTTAACTTAGATTTTCATGGATTTTTGTTGATATGGTTATGAGGAAAAATAGTCAAAATTTGTTGAATGCTTACTAAGTAGTGACCACTCAAAGAATAAATATATGCAGGCATATGGACATATTTTAATCTCAGTCAACTCTCCAACCATCCTTTGAAATAGGTCTGATTATTTTCTTCACTTTGCAAGTGAGGCTTATTATCACATCACTGCCAAATAAGGTACTCAGACCAGCTTCCCTTGTCCTCACAGTTCATATTATTGACCACTGGGCTATACTGTACTGCGGTTTTCCTGGAAATAAGACTATTTTTACAAACACTTTTTAAAAATTTAGTTATTTTTGTTGCAAAAGTGTCTTCTCACTTCTTATTTTAGGAGGCAGAAACGATAATTAAAAATTAGGTTTCTATTTCCTTTCCCACTCAATTGTTTTCAAGTAACATGAAACGCTAGCTGCATAACTGACAGATCTGGGCTGAGATGAACGAGAATACTTTTTGTGAAAGGTTTTGGGTTGTTGATTAAATATTTTCTAGTTGGGTCAGAATGAGAAAAAACAGTAGGCCCTAGGGTAACCTCCCCCTCACCTCGAAACTTTTTGCCCTTAAGAGACACAGCAGGATAATTCTGTCAGGGTGGGAGAAAGACAATGCTCTTTTGGTAATATGATAAAATACTGAAATACTAATACTAAATATTAAAATAAAAACTGTTATTATCCACACAGTCAGTGGGGAGTTCTGTCGGTTGCCCACCCAACAGATACCCACCTCACCCCTCCTTGTTCCTGGGGTGCAGGTATGCACCATCCCCTGTGCTCAGGGAAGAAAGCCCTTCTCCACTCTAGGGGATGAAACAGAATTCTTCAAGCCAGTCATGGTGGTCCCATTCCCTTGTTAGTGAATTCTATCATACGCATGGACATATGACCGAAACCCAGCCCACGAGACCAGTGGTGGGGAGGGATGTATGCTGGAAGTCTCGGATTCCCAGCCTAAGGAAAAGAGGCACATGGGGAAAAAAAGTCTCTCTTCTTTGCTAGCTGTTGTCCTAGCAGCATGAGATGCCTGTATACTGCAGCCAAGTGAGATATCATTGCCCGCAAGCTGAGGATAGCAAGCAGAAATACGGAAAGGCCTTGGACCTTGATGACATTGTTGGGTTGCTGAATTAACCAATCCTGGCACCCTACCTCCGGATTTTTGGCTATGTGAAATTAAAAATAAATTTTAATAATTGAGCTGCTTTCAACCGTGTCCTCTGTTAACCTACAGCTAAAGGCATTCTGATACAAAAAGCCTCTAACACCTCCATTTCTGAAAAAGTCTTAAATTGTAATTCTTAAATCATAATCATGGTGAAGATAGTTGTTAAATGTTAAGCAAAGCATTTAGGAGACTGTGAAAACCATTTAAAAAATCATTTTAGGTTATTTCTTTCAGGAGGCCATCACGCATGAAACCC